GGAAGCGCATCTAGGGCTATTTTGATACTCATGATTTGGGAGCAGCGATGTTAACAAACTTGATCGTACTCGAGGTTGCATTAAATCACACCAGGAGGAGGGGAAAATCGGCTCCCGCTTCGTGAGGTTCTAAGTGCCACTAGCTCATTGACGAGGAATTTCACATCTGTCAAGGTAACTCCTGACCGCAATGCACCAAAAGGCGATTGGTGCCCTACTTTGCCATGCTCCTCATTCCTCGCACCGAAATAACCCCTGTTTGGGCATTTTTAAGCCACATTACGCGGCCCACGATTTTCCTAGTTTTTTCCACTCCAGCCTATCTCCCTCTCTTTTTAAGGGTGTTACAGTAATTGCAGTGGGTAATCAGACCTTTGACCAGTAACCACTGCTCGTGCGAAAGTCCTCACCGTTTGGGATTACGGTGGTCTGCCTCGCACATGGTGTTCGCACCGTATAGGCTGATGTTCCTGATGATATCATCCACGAATCATTGATCGGAATCGTTAATTATGCTTTTCGATAGTGTAGGTAACTTTGTAGAACACTAGGAGAGCTCTCAAGTTGCTTCCTGTAAAATTAAGGAACCGATACGCATATTTAGGTCAAGTGCGCTGGACGACATTGGTGCGTCAGCTTAGCCTTAGTCTTATCAGTAGAACACAAAGGATGGGTGAGACTGGATGCTGTTCGCGTCTAACACGAGAGTCATTCACAATCAGGTCATCACACAGCGTCTTTCATCTGACTATGACGCTTCTGGCGTCCAGCCTGAATGGAGTTGGGGATTTTATTGTCCTTTTCTTTGGACAGAATAATTGGACCCTCATTACCACTGATCCGAGCTATCTTCACCGATGGACTCACAAAGTTAGTCGCTTTCTGAAATAACTCGCTTGTATGGTTCCTGTCTGTGTGTGTTGCTGTGCCTCTCGGATTCGACCGCTTCATGAATGAAAAGAGTGGGTTTGCGGGTCTGTCTGAGGTTGTACTGAACAGATCGTTGCGTCCCCAGTCGTAC